TTGGGATACGTACATAATTGAAGATTAAAAAGGGTTACAGGATTCGTTCTGGGGCTTAGCTACCTGGCTAGGTGGTGGTCCATGAGACCTGAATCATAGCCACAGGACAATACCAGGACCCCAACCTTAAATTAGATAAGGCAATTTCCCTATTTCTTTCAGCCACACTTCCTGAGGGCAAACTGCCCTTCCCCAGATTTGTCCAAGATCTTGTCTACACATAGCCACAATGTTGGTTTAAAGGTCACAAAACTCAAATAGCATTTGAGCTTATGTCAAGCTTAAAATGGAGTTAGACCGCAGCCTTCCACAAACCAAACGCTTCAGAATTTAAGCTCTAATACAAGTCTTAAGAGCTTATGAGCGTCTATCTAAGGTACAATTATTGGTCTCTCCTCCTATGAAACCAAGAAGAGTGAAGAAAATCAAACCCAAAAAAAAAAAAAAAAACCTGTAATGCAGTGAATTGCTTAATAAAGCCATAGTCCCCCATTTTGTGAACTAACGTAATCCTAGCCTCTCTGCCTGTGTTTATGATCCCATCTTGGGTGAATTATCTGTTGGTGAGGCAGGATTAGGGTGGGATGAATCCTACGTCCTGCCTTGCTGGAGGGTGTGACACGTCACCACCCGTGGATTCTTTGAGGGTATATATAAGAATGCTCTGGCAGAGCTGGCTCCTTGCACTGGCTCTTCAGACTTGAGATAGCAGCCAGTCGGCTGACCTGCTCACATGCGTTCATCACTTCCTGCAACCAGGTGAGGAGAATCCTCCAGACCTCCACTTGATCCACAAATTTTGGACTTGCCACCCTTCAAACAGCCAGAGCCATTTCCTAATGGGGGTCACTGTGGGTGGGAATCATGGCAGCAGGTTCAGGTTTAAGATCGGAGAGAGTACTGAGGGAAGGAATTAATGTTAGAGATGGAGTGGTACAGCAGTTTAGGAGCTCGGGTGGCGTTGGGGATAAGATATTTGGCTGGTAACCAGAAGGTCGGCAGTTCAAACCCACCAGCCACTCCCCAAGAGGAAGATGAGGCAATGTACTCCCGTAAAGATTTACAGCCTTGAAAACCCCATGGGGGTGAGTCAGGATGGACAATGGGTTTGGTTTGGTTTTTGGTATTAGAGTTTAAGTTCAGTCTTCTTTCTAATCATTGAGCCAGCAGTGCGGCTATGCAAGGACAAGTCTAGGGAGGGGCAGTTTGCCCTCAGGAAAAGTATAGTTGAAACTAGGGTTTTTAAAATTTTCAGTGGTGTATATATCCTGATCATGGGCTTTTTCCCTGCTTCACTGACAGCTGCGGTGGTGAACCCATCTGCAACCAATCGTGATTTTGGGATGATTTTGTTTTTGATCATAATCATCCCCGTGGCCAGGACTCAGCGTTTTACATGGCATCTTATGCCCTGAAGTAAAAATTATGACTATTCTGTTTTCCCTTTTAGCTTCTAGCCTTGTAGCTCCTTGGAAGAAGACTGATTAATCTCTTTATCTTCCTTGATACCGGAAGGCACTCAGCTAATATTCACTGAATCAGCAGCCACGGTTCAGGTTGATAATATGGAATGAAATTATCATTTATGGTTTTCTTATGTTATAATCCTTTTCCATCCTCTGATAGAGAACGAAATCTGACTTCTACTTTAGTCTCTTTGTGACGATACAATATACCGTGTGGTCGGTCTTCTTGGCCAGCTAGTCTCTTCCCCCCATTATTTCATCTTACAGTGTGTGAACAGTCCGATTCCTGTGGTTTGTTTTACTATATTCTGGTTTTCAGTGTTTATTATCAAAACGTTGTGGACAAAAATTCTATTTATCTCTTTGTACCTCTAATCTAGTCTCTTTATGACAATGTTATAATAGCAGATCATCAAACTCATTCTAAAGTAATGTAGTGTCTGGGATGAAAGTTCTTTCAATTCAAAGTCAAACTTTGTCTCTGGCTGCTTTGACTGTCGTAGGATCATGGGGTAGGGTTAGAGAGGAGATTTCTGTAACCTTAATATTTGTGCATTGTGCATAATGCATTCATTCACACAGGGCTCCCTGAACCTGTGTAAATTTCCCATCTGAAATATACTGCCTCTTCACCTCTTAATAATGCTATCATGTTTCCCCAATCATTTCCTTCACAGCACTAATCACACCATGAAATTATTCTGTTTATCCTTCCTCTCCATCTGGTACCTCATTGTCTTATTCGTTGTTGAATTACTAGCACTTAGATCAGGTTTGGGCACATACTAAGAGCTTGATGAAGGAGCTCTGGCAGAGTGTTAAACCTCTTGGCTGATGACCAAAAGCTCATTGGTTCAAACTCACCAGCCTCTCCAGGGAGAGAGTTGTGGCAGTCTGCTTTGGAAGCCCCAGGGGCAGTTCTTCGCCCTATAGAGTCACTGTGAATCAAAATCACCTCCGAGGTAGTGGGTGGGAACTTGATGGATACATGAACTGGCTGAAAGGCACTGAGGCTCCTATAGTTAGTTCTGACTGAGGACAATTCTGTATGCAACAGAGTAGAACTGCTGCATAGGGTTTTCTTGGCTGTAATCTTGAAGCAGGTCACTATAGTACTGCAGTCAAGCCCAAACCATTTGGGCCACTAGGGACCTAGGGAATGCTGGTGGTGCAGTGGTTAAGGCATTTGGCTGCTAACAAAAGGTCTGTGGTTCATACCCACCAGCCACTGTGCAGGAGAAAGATGAGGCAGCCTGCTACTGGAAGGATGTGGCAGCCTTAGAAACCCTATAGGAGTCACTGCGTCTTAATCAGTGAGTTTGGCTTGGTTTTTTGGTTTTTTTTTTTTGAGGGACCTATGAATATGAATGGAAGAGATCCATATTTATACCCATTTCAGATGGATCTTGGCTCAAGGTGAAGAATACCAGAAAGATGTTTACTTGTGCTTTATTGACTATGCAAAGGCATTTGATTGTGTGGATCATGACAAATTATGGATAACACTGAGAAGAATGGGAATTCCCGAACACTTGATTGTACTCATGAGGAACCTGTACCTTGACCAGGAGGCTGTCGTTTGAACGGAACAAGGGGACACTACATGGTTTAAAATCAAGAAGTGAGTGTGTCAGGGTTATATCCTTTCCCCACACTTATTCAATCTATATGCTGAGCAAATAATCCAAGAAGCTGGACTATATGAAGAAAAACGTGGCATCAGGATTGGAGGAAGACTCATTAACAACCTGAGATATGCAGACGATACAACTTTGCTTGCTGAAAGTGAGGATGACTTGAGGCACTTACTGATGAAGGTTGAAGAAATACAGGCTGCAGTATGGATTAAGTCTCAATATAAAGAAAACAAAAATCCTCACAACTGGACCAATGAGCAGCATCATAATAAATGGAGAGAAGACTGAGGTTGTCAAAGAATTCACGTTGCTTGGTTCTACAATTGATGCCAATAGAAGCAGCAGTCAGGTCATTAGATGACTTGTAGCACAGAGAAGGTCAACCACAAAGGAACTGTTTCAAGTGCTGAGGAACAAGGATATCTCCTTGAGGACTAAAGTGCGCCTGACACAAGCCATGATATTTCACATTGCCTTGTGTGCATGTGAGAGCTGGTCAATGAATAAGGAAGACCGAAGAAGAGTTGATGCTTTCGAGTTGTGGTGCTGGCGAAGAATGCGGAAAGTACCATGGACTGCTAAAAGAACTAACAGATCTGTCCCAGAGGAAGTGCACCCAAAATGCTCCTTGGAAGCGAGAATGGCCAGACTTCGTCTCACCTATTTTGGTCATGTTGTCAGAAGGGACCATTCCCTGGAGAAGGATGTCATGCTTGGTAGGGTGGAGGGTCGACAAAAGAGGGGGAGGGGCCTTCAACGAGATGGATTGACATGGTGGCTGTGATGATGGGCTCAAGTATAGCAGGGATCGTGGAGCTAGCGCGGGATCGGGCAGTATTTCATTCTGCTGTGCATGGGGTCGCTATGAGTCAGAAACGACTTGACGGCACCTAACAACAACAACATGAATATTAATTACCTACTTGGAATTTCCAAAGCTACTCTTTTCCTCCACAAACAAGTTACCAAACCAAAAACCCAAACTCACTGCCATCGAGTTGATTCTGACTCATAGTGAACCCCTTTGGGTTTCCGAGGCGGTAAATCTTTATGGAAGGCCCAGTCTTCCTTCTGGGGAGTGGCTGGTGGGTTTGAACCATCACCCTTGTGGTTAGTGGTAAAGTGCCACCAGAGCTCCTTACAAACAAGTTAAGGGACCCATAAAGAGAATCCATCAACATCCACTCCTGCCTTCTCAGAGCTACTGGAGTTCTTCCTCCCTGGTTTATGTCCCGGTTTGACATGGAATAAAGCAGTAATGTGTAGTAAAGATACGAAACTGAATGTTCCCTTGTCTAGACATAACTTAATATAGAATATCCAATTTATATGTTGTTTTCAGCTTTTTTAATGCTAATGGCTTGCTAGGATTGAAATAATATCTGAATTCTCAGCACAGTACTTGCCTGGGGCAGCAACAGACCTTTCAGATTTAAATTATCTGAAGCCTGGTTGTCTGTGCTAATATATTCTGAATACCCTGAATAAACACAAGCCATCCAATTGGGTAAATTGTCTGGAGTACTTGATTTTTTTATCTAAATTTTATTAACATCAACTTGTACATTGATGCAAATTTGTCTACTTCCCCATCCAAAAGAGCTATTCTTCGCTTCACTTCCTATTAGAATTGAACACATATTGAATATGTCTGTTAAAGGAACAATTCTGTAGAATAAGAAAGGGTGAGGTGCACATCCCTCTGCCACAATCTCCAAAGGTAATCCTTATCAAATAAGCACAAATTCTAATTCCATCTGTAGGTTAGGAAAAAAATCTGAGTAATGATGTTAGGACAGCATTGTTTCACTTAATAAAATTCAGTGTAAGCATATGAAGTATTTATCCATAAAAAAGATTTTATATCTCTTTATATAATTCCTTTGTTTTAAAAGGATTTTCTCCTGACTCAGCATTTCCTGGAAAAATGGATCATTCCCATCATGCAGGGATGAGCTATATGGACAACAATACTATGTCACCCTCTCACCATCACCCGACCACTTCCGTCTCCCACTCACATGGCGGAGGAAATGATAACATGAAGATGATGGTGAGTGCCACGGGAGAGACAACCTGGGCCCTTTCCTATCCACTTGGGTAAGAGAAATAGAATTTTAATGCAGAAGGTCATATCTTTCGAGGTCAGTTTACTGATGGGAGAAAAACTACTAAGACTGTCTCAAATATTTGTCCAAGATCACATGGGGGTAATGGGGACTTTCGTTTAGTTCCTGTGGTAGTAATATCAAAATAAGGGAAAAAGCCTCCCATTTTGGTGAGTATCTTACTATCCAGATGTATACTTTAGAATGTTCTGAGCTTTTTGCCTGAAATTTATTTAGGATCTTCAGTCATCCCTAATTGGCTTGTTTTGGTTTTCTAACAGCCTATGACCTTCTACTTTGGCTTTAAGAATGTGGAACTATTGTTTTCTAGAGTGGTGATCAATACAGCTGGAGGTGAGTAAGCACTATCAGGTGGTTTTTGAAGGTGACAATCACATGAGCAGAGAGATAGAAGGTGACAGTCAATGAGATGAGATGTAGTGAGATTCTGAGACTCTACTAGGCCAAGGATTAGGAAAAACAGCACCTCTGTCTGCCCTAAATACTGAATCCACATGGTTATGATACATAACCATCTTGGTTCCTGTTTCCTACCAGTGAGGTGAGAATGTTTATTTTGGTCCTGGTATACCTTCCTTAGCCTGGTATACCTTCCGGGAGCTCTGGTAGTGTAGTGCCTAGGGCACTTGACTGCTAACCAGAAGGCTGGCGGTTCAAACCCACCAGCCACTCCTCGGAAGGAAGATGGGGCAATCTACTTCCGTAGTGATACTGCCTTGGAAACCCAAGGAAGGGTCGCTATGAGTCGGGTCCAACTCGACGGCACATAACAACAACAACATACCTTCCTTAAATGACATGTATCTATTTTGTAGCTCTGAAAAATAAATACCAGATAAATGTATTTTCCAATCCATGTCCTTTCATCCTCTTCCAGAATATTTCCTTATTTGACAGATTATTAAGCCTGAACATACAGGTTCAAATGATATTACCTTCTTGTAGATGCATGTGACAAAGTAGCCCCAGGTCTACAACTGCTGATCTCATACAGCCCTTTCCATATACAGATAAATTAAGGCTGACATAGTGGAGTGACTTGCCCAAAATCAGAGTTTGTGGGTCAGAGCTAGGACAAGGACACACACCTCCTACAAGGACACACACCTTCTAGACTTACGTGATCCACTGCTCTTTCTACTCTGCTGAACTATGGGCCACATCCCTTGTGGTTCTTGGTATGGCCCATCTTAGGGTCGTTCCTAGTTTTTGGGTAGCTGATCACCCATCTCTTTTTGTCTCTAACATTGACTTGTAAATAACACACACTCAGTTGTCACTTGGATTGCTTTAGGGTAGGATGTTTTAGATCCACAACATCTGTTTTGGAAAGAAGGGGAGCATTTAGTTCAGTTACTGTTAAGATTAGCATTTTGAATACATCCATATCATTACCAACACAATGTGAAAAGACAATAGACTTCAAATCCTTATTCAAGAAACGTAGCCAGCACTAAAAATAAGTTCTATTCCCCTTTTCCATAGTGTACTTTCTGTGTTTCTCCCAAAGTAACAAGCTAATTTAATGCCATCAAACAGCCAGACCATATGTAATCTGAAATTTATTTAGGATCTTCAGTCATCCCTAATTGGCTTGTTTTGGTATTCTAACAGCCTATGACCTTCTACTTCGGCTTTAAGAATATGGAACTACTGTTTTCTAGAGAAATAACAGATTATTTTTGTTCAAATAATTTTTTATATATTAATCAAAAAGTGGGAGCTCTGGCATAGTGCCTAAGGTATTTGACTGCTAACCAGAAGGCTGGCAGTTCAAACCCACCAGCCACTCCTCGGAAGGAAGGTTGGGCAATCTACTTCCGTAGAGGTAACACCTTGGAAACCCAAGGAGGGGTCACTATGAGTCGAATCAACTCGATGGCAGTGAGTTTGATTTTTGGTTTTTGTTTTGTTTTAATCAAAAAGTGAATGTGTTCTTCAGCAGAGGCAGTGGTTTTAGCTCATTTCCTATCTGGGCAAGTGAAGAGGTAACTGTAATATATTAAGAACATAGCTTTTCTATGTTGTCTTGGACAGTACACTGGTGTAATAATTTTGCACGTTTGACAATACCACTATCTTCTCCTTCTCTACTTAGAAATGGCTGGAGCTTTTGTGGCAGTGTTTTTACTGGCAATGTTCTATGAAGGACTCAAGATAGCCCGAGAGAGCTTGTTACGCAAGTCACAAGTGAGCATCCGCTATAATTCCATGCCTGTCCCAGGGCCAAATGGAACCATCCTTATGGAGACACACAAAACTGTTGGGTAAGAAAACTGAACAAGTCCAGATGGAAGTTCTAGAGAGCTGGATTAGTTAAGCAGCAAAGCAGCTATTTTACTGGCAGCAGCCTTCATGAGTTAACAATTCTGTGTGACCTTGATCAAAACTCTTTGGAGGTTTAGGGTGGTAGGTCATGAACAGGCCAAAGGAGAAACAGTAGGAACCCTTCTGTGAACATAAGTGGGGTCTGAGTTGTGTGAGTCACTTTGCTAGAAAGTAAAGAATCTGTATTTAAATACTTGCCAAGATAGTAATGAACAAGTTAAATTCTGGTGAAGGTATAGGAAAATGGCAGAATCCAATTGATGTCTTCCTATAAAAAGTTGTATCTATCCAGGTCCAGGTTTCTTTTGTCTGTAATATAAGACTATACTAGTATATTAATAGGAGCTCTGGTAGCATAGTGCCTAAGGCACTTGACTGCTCACTAGAAGACTGGCAGCTCAAACCCACCAGCCAATCCTCGGAAGGAAGGTTGGGCAATCCTACTTCCGTAGTGATACTGCCTCGGAAACCCAAGGTGGGGTTGCCATGAGTCTCGACGGCAAACAACAACAACAAAAACAAGTATATTAATGTCTCTGCTTTAAGAAAGTGTTTGTACTAGTTTTTTCCATAGATTGGCAAAGGCTTTTTGAGATTCAATTCTAATAGAAATATAGGTTTTAAAACTAGGTGGGGACCTCAAAATATCCTGTAGACCAACAAACCAAGCAAACACAATACAGTTCACTGTACTGTGAGAGTCACAACTAGATGGCACTGCCTTGTTTTCCTGGGTCCTGCAAGTGTCCCACCTTTGACAGGGTGTTGTGTTAACTTTTCATTTGTTTTGGTGGAAAATATTTGAGTTTTCCTTGACAGGTTTCTGCCTTATACAGCTTCCAGTTTTTGCAGGTTTTACTGTATTGTTTCCATTGAACTGACTGAGGTCAAATAAGTGGTTGTGACTAGCTTAAGGTGACAGAACTAAGTGACAGAGGGAATGTGAAGCCAAGTCTCCCAATCCCTAATGAAGTACTTTCTACTCTACAACCCAGCACTCAGTTCTAACTATTTCCATGTTTGTACTATGAACTACGACCAGAACTATGCTCAGACGGAAGGCCCAAAAATGTTCAGGCAAATAAGTGTGGGAGAGATTAGGGCTTCTCTTTCTGGATCCAAGGTGAAGGTCAATTAGGGGATTACCCTCCCTCTCTCTCTCTCCCCTCCTGAAAGGGTGCCTCCTACTGGCATAATACTGTATCTAGCTTGTTGTGCTTATAAACCTGACAGCTCCATGTTTTGTTTCCCGGGACCAAGAAACAACATACATATACACAAGTACCCATGAGTTGCCGGGGGGGCTGTGGGGGAATCGTTCTCAGGCTGGGCTCGGGACACAACTCTTCTCCTTTCTCCTGACTTGCACAGCTGCCTGCACACTGCTGATGGTCCCTGACTGTCTGTTTACCCCCAGGCAGCAGATGCTGAGCTTTCCTCACCTCCTGCAGACAGTGCTGCACATCATCCAGGTGGTCATCAGCTACTTCCTCATGCTCATCTTCATGACCTACAACGGGTACCTCTGCATCGCTGTGGCCGCAGGGGCCGGCACAGGGTACTTCCTCTTCAGCTGGAAGAAGGCAGTGGTAGTGGACATCACTGAGCACTGCCATTGACATCAGACTCCATGGTGTGGCCTTGCTGCAATGGGAAGCAGCTCCGAGACTGGAAGACAGGACTCCTGCTCCAGTCACCCCTTCTTGCTCCTTCTCTCCTTTCACACACACTTGCTCAACAGAGGTTTAGCTATAGTCCCTGAGTTAAAGTGGTGATCTCCCCAGACTTTTCTCTAATTAGCTGAGATTCCCATTTTTCTTGAGGAGAAGCCACCCATGAGATGTCCTCTTCTCCCTTATCATCTTAGATGCAGGTTATATTTTTGACTAATCCAGGTAGCTGTGTACAATGACATGATCTCCTGATTCCTTTTTAATATATATATATTTTTTTTTATTAGACAGTATGTGAATTTGGTGGTTTTGTTCAGGGTGAGTGATTACAAAATTAACTTCAGCCAGGATTGGTACCATCTGAGGACAATTCTTGCCCAACTAAAGCCAGAACCCACACATTAGGAAATAAGTTCCAGTTCTTGGCTTGCGTTGCTGGGAGATACACTGTGCCTTTCCCTGGGTGTGATGGGTTGCAGAGAGGGTTTGACACGACAGGCCTGCAGCTTGCAGGAGTGTGCATTCCTTGGCAGCTGATTTAACAGCTTAACGTTTTGATTAGAATGAACTTGCCAATCAAAAAAAAAGACAATCAATTTGAAAAAAACAGAAAGGTATTTTTAAATAAAACAATCGGCATTTTACTTTGACTTGGTACCTTGGTTTGTCACAGCTGAATCCTTTTCCCGTTGTTTCCATGTCTCTGGTTCAACCAGTGGTTTTTAAACTCTAGCATCAGACTCACCCAGAGGGCTCATTAGAACAATGGTTGGGCCTTAATCTCAGCCCAAAATTGGCATTTCTAGCAAGCTCCAGGTGATATTCTTGGTGCTGGTCAGGGGACCACACTTTGAGAACCGCTTTAAATCAGGGCTTCGAACTGGATCCTTCCAGTTCACCCCCTGCTAATAATTTGCCTTTACCACCCCAGATACACTGACCAAAGTCAACATTTTAACACAATCACCAGGTGATGCATACACAAGAATAACCTGAGGATCGTGTTAAAATGTGGATTCTGGTCATTATATATGGGGAACGGCAAATTTTCAGCAAGGGGCTGAAATTGGAATGAGCCTATTGGAAGCCTGCCTTTACTTAATCATTCCACAAACATTTTTCAGCAATTGTGATGTGTGCCAGAGCACGTGTGCAAAGGGCTGGAGTCAGTTATCAGCATGTATGAAATTACTAGTCTTTATATTTAAAGATCTGTGGTTTCTTGGAAATTGCTTGAAGGTTGAGAGATACCTTTGACCTGCAGTGTAAATCAGCCAGCCATGGGTCAGAAGGGCAAAAGCTCAGCCTTTCCCTTTGGGACTTAGGGTGTGGTCTGGTGATACTCCTCAGCCCCCACATCCATGTCCACACCAGGCAGATCCTCACCTTTCACGTGACCATCTTTGTTCCTCTTGGGGGCTTAATTAGATCACAAGTGGCCAGAGCCTTTCTTCTTAATGAAGAATCACTTTGGATTTTTATCTTTGGTTGTCTACACTGCAGTCTTGTTCCCAGTCCGAACTACCTCTGTAAAGTGATTCTTCCATTGCTGTCTATTGAACCCTTCCCCCCTTGGTGCTAGACTCCCAATTGTGCCTCAGGGCGGAAGAGACTAGACACTATCCTGTTGGTGACACTTGTGGCTTTGAAGTTTGTGCTTTCTCTCTGGCTGCCAGCTAGCTAAATACTAGAGAATGAAGAATATGTTATTTCTTAGGCTGTGAACCAAGAAAAGGGTTATGAGCCAACTGGATCGAGGTAAAATCCATGAACCAACATTTAGAGCTTTGCTTTTCTAATCCCACCCCCTTGTGGTGCTCATACTTAGATCAGCTGACCGGGAGCAGAGTGAATGACAGGAGTCCAACATGAAGGGGTAGAGCGCCTGTTACTGTTTCAGATGCTAAGGAATAAAACCATAACAAATAAGTGACCCTGGTGACCTCCAGACATCTTGGTAGGGTCTGGTGTAAAATTCTCTCCCAGAGATAGGACCCTTGTTAGAAAGGCCAGTAAAGACAAAGTGCTATGAATTTGCTAGGAAATTCACCAACAGAAATATCAGTTTGGGATAGGTCTTTGGGTATTCAGGATAGACTCTCATGAGAAACCAGAATTTCAGATTTTTAGCCAAGGTCACCAAAGAAGAAGGCAAGTGAAGGAGAAAACATTTGAAGCTTCTATCCTTCCTGAGCTCTTGGACTGTGATGATAAAATGGTGTCATCAACTTTCATTTCTAAATCCCTTTTCATTTGGAGTTTAGTACCTGCCTTCTTTTGAACCCAAATTTCTCTTCCTCCGCTGTTTAACTATCTCCCCATTTCTTTGGCCCCTTATTCTGCTCTCATTTTCCCTTTCAGTAATTTCCTTTCCTTATCTCGTGTCTAATTTATTTGCCTAGCCTTCCTATGCAGTGCACATTGCTATGCAATGGATTTAGATACCAACCAAAAGTCCTCAAATCTAGAGACCTTCAATATACTTCTAGGAGCAGTTGCCCCACTGGAATGTCTATAGGTGCAGGGCTACCTGGTTACATCCCCACAACAATTTTTGGTGCTGTCTCCAGTCTGAACACAGAGTTCCCTCCTTTGCCCACAAACAGATCCTCACTGTGTCCACCAGGGATTAGAGATTGAGGTTTCTTCACTACTATGGTAGGGTTGTCTAGAATTTCTTTTCAGGCTGTGAGGCGCTTATCTTGGGTTCTAACCTCAAGGGGCTCCATAAAAGGAGCTAGAAGGGCAAGGGGTACACTTTCATGTCATTTATTTTTGATCATGCCCTCTCTAGCTGCTGCTTTCAGAAGATACATCTAAAGAAAGAGTCTACATTTCATATAATGCCTTAATCACTGGGTCTACAGTTAATGTTGACTGTTCAGATTGTAAGCTCCTAGAGAGCAGTATTGCTGTAGTAGAAATGTTTTAACAGTGTCATGTGCAAAAGAACAAAATAAATATTTTGATTTTGTGATTCTATGCATGTCTCTCTACCCAGAGTAATAGCAAAATTAGCTAGTCTCATCATAGTCCTCATATAGCCTGCCATCTTCTCTTCATGCCACTGCTAGCCTCCTGGGAGTATAGTGGGATGAGCAGGGGTTTTGGAGTTAAGAATGCCCAAGATTTAAACCCTGGCTCCAGCACTTACTAGCAGTGTAACCTTAGGCAAGTTGTTTTACTCTTCCCTCAGCTTTACTGTCCACATTTATAATAAGGCAATAAAAACTCACCACCAGTCGAGTTGGATCCGACTCATAGTAACCCCTCCTTGGGTTTCTGAGGCAGCATCACTACGGCAGTAGATTGCCCAATCTTCCGAGGCATGGTTGGTGGGTTTGAACTGCCAGCCTTCTGGTTAGCAGTCAAATGCCTTAGGCACTACACCACCAGAGCTTCCAATAAGGCAATAGCAACACCTATTTGAATTAGAAGCGATACACGTAAAGCACCCAGTGTATAAGAGGCATCCAAGCCGTAACAAGTGTATTTTCATTGCCTATTGATGACTGAAGGTGCTCTGGGACACAGTGGTGACAGCATTTGGCTTCTTGCCAAAAGGCTGGCTGCTCTGCAGAAGCCTTGGAAAGCCTATGGGGCAGTTCTCTGTCCTATAGGGTCGCTGTGAGTCAGAATCCACTCGGTGGCTTTTTTTTTTTTTTTAACTGATTACTGTTACTCCAGCTTTTGGGAAAATGACAAGTGCAGTTTTCTGGATAGGGCTGGTGTCTCTTCACAAGCATTTGATCATGTAAGTTTGCATGAGCCAGCAATGAGCAGTCAGACTTCAGAATTGATGCATGTGATTTCAGTAGAGCCAAAAAAGGTACAGTAAGCTCTTAGCTTTTATTTTTACAAATAAAATAGCATGAAAATTTTCTAGAACTGACAAAGTAACCTCTCATTCTGTCCCTGCCATCTCCACTTTCGTAGACCCAGCTGTGAAAAAGGAGGAAAGTAGTGTAGCAAGGTTTAGACCGCCTGGGTCAAATCTCACTCCGCCACTTAACAGCTGAGCATGTTTCATCTTTTATAAAACTAGGAGAAGGTAGCTTCCTCGGGTGTGCCAGGGTAAACGAGATGATCTGTGCAGAGCCTCAGCACAGTGTCTTACACCAAGCCCTGAGTGCTAGCGACCAGGAGGGAAGACAAGATAGCCAGGAGGCCCCTGCTCCAGCCTGCTCAACAGCCCACCCTGCTGGGAAATCAGTCCCAAGGGTTCAGGAAGCCTTGTTCTTCCCTATGTTTTTCTGCCCTTCCATACTGACTTCCAAGGTAATAACTTGATTTCCCTTATGTGAAGGCTGTGTTTTAAGACTCTGGAGTGACAGGATTTAAGGTCCTAGATAAAAATGGAAGAGTGAAGGTTTTATATGTATCCCCTTCTGCCCCGCCCCACCCACCCCCCCACCTGGCCCACATTCCTAATTAGATTTAAACTACTCTGGAAAGGGTGACTAAAATGCAACTAAGCTCTCTTTAGAACCAGTGATTTCAAAGATTGTTGCTACCACAGCTGGCTGTTCCCTATAGTTGTCTTAACCAGTAAAACTACTAGGCCAAAATTAAAAACTACCCCTGGAGCTATTCCTCAGATTGGCTTCTGGTGGGAAAAATTCTTAGGCAAGTTGGGGAAAAAAAGGAGAACTGGAATGATGGTAATACTGTTAGGAGTATTCCTGTTGTTTTTCCCTTCATTGCCTGTCTTCTCAAAGTTAAACCCAAACTATAACAAAGCGATTCTGTGAACAGAAACCCACAACTTGATCAAGATTACACAAAATCTCTAGAATTTAATCTCCACAAGGGCAGGGAGCTTTGTCAGTTTTTCACTGATATTTACCACAGGCCTAGAACAGTGCCTGGCACATTGTAGGTGCTCAATAAATATATGTTGCATAAATGAGTTAGTGACTAAATCAACTGGGCGTGTTCTAATAAACAGGGGAAGGAATAATTTTACTTCTTATAGCAATTACCTTTTAAAATCTGGGAGTTAATAGTACCATAATACTTCAGTAAGGATGTCTCATTTTTCCAAAAATATATTTTAAAAAACAAAAACAAATTTTAGAGTCAAATTCTCCCGAGACAAACCAGAGTCTGGATTCTGGCGTAAAGTGAAAGTTGCAAGCAGACTCAGAGTACCCTTCACTGAGAGGTGAACACTTTGCTTGACCCTGTACTCGGCTTTCTAAATCTTGTTTGTACTTCTGCCATCATATTACTCCACTCCAGAGGCTCTGGCATGCAAAGGGAATGTCTTCTAAAATTCAAAACTTCCAAATTGAGATGAACGATTGTTGGGCTTGGGCTGGGGTTTATAACCAATTCGATCATTAATCATTTGTTCTCGGTTCTTGGGGTCAATGCTAAGTCCAATGGCTCCTTCTCCATCACTGCCTCCCACAACTTCCACATCTTCCTTTTGTTTCTTGCGGGTCTGAAAGTACACAAGTTTTAACATTAAAGCAACATTCTTTTAATTAGCAAACATTTAGCACCTACTATATACCAGGCATAATAAGGAGCACTGGTAGCACAGTGCCTAAGGTGTTTGACTGCTCATCAGCAGGCTGATGGTTGAAACCCACCAGTCAGCCGCTCCCCTGAAGGAAAACAGGGCAATCTACTTCCATAGTGATACTGCCTCAGAAACCCAAGGAGGGGTCCCTGTGAGTCGGATCCGACTCGATGGCAGTGAGTTTGGGTTTTTTTGGTTTTTTTTTTAAATGAGTCAGAAGTGACTTGACGGCATGAGTTTGATCTGGTTTATATACCAGTGATAGGGTAAGAAAGGGCTATGGCCTATAGAACAGTAGAGTGAAATCGCTGGTTTCAAGAAGAAAAATGCTAGAACTAGAGATGCAGTGATAAAAGGGTAAGATCCCTACCCTCCAGGATGTCACAGTCTAATAGAGAAATAGGTAAACAGACAATTACAGGGTGATCAGAGTTATGACAGAAAGAAGCCCAGTACCAAAGAACGCAAGGAAAAGGTGAGGAACTAGGTGTGTGGTGGTGTGGAGGTTCAAAGCAGAAGGCTGCAAATGCAAAGCTAAGTGTTAGCTAGATAAGGGGGTAGAGAACAAATGGTGGGAGCAGATAAAAATGATAACCAGCAGAAGTTTACAGCTTGACCAAACCCTTGCAACTAAAAATAATACTAGAAGGTTTTGCCCTGTCTTATCTGAGTTTTGGGTTTTGTTTTCAGATAAAGAGTTTGGCTATTAAGTCACAAATAACTATAGAATTCATAAAGTTCAGATCTCAGTGTGGTCATTTCGAAAAGGGAACACTTATCCCATACCTACTACTCCCTGACTGTCAGGATGATATTAATAATAATAGTGTGCTTGAAGAGAGTGAGCAGATGTTCTGTCCAGAGTTCTTGACTAGAGGAATGTTCAAGCCCAGTATGCTGACCACTGGAATCCCTGCCATTCTTTACCATGTCCTGCTGAACTGTGAGCATTTAAACACCAACATCAAAGGAGTCCAGTGAACCAAATAAGGTACTGCTTTTTATGTGACAAATACCATGACCTTCCTGAGTTGGAGAGTAACTAACTATACACCAATAAGTACTGTTATGAAATTTCTACTCTACACAAACTCCTTTTGTGTGTGCGTGTGTGTGTGATTTAGGTGAAAGTAGCTTCCTGTAGTTACCTTTTCCCTGTGTCCTTCTTTCCTATGCATTCCTGCTCTCTTGAGCTATCTCCTTGTGCAAATACTTTCCTTCTGATCTCCATGGTTGATCATTCTAAGGATTGCACCTATCTGGTATAAATGTTCATCTTATATGGCTGCCTATTGTTTGGCTGGAAGCAACTGGAATGAGTTCCATTCTAAGTCCAAAAGGTGACTTGAGGCCATAGTCTTGGGGGTTTCACCAGTGTCTATCAGAGCAATAAGCTTGATCTTTTTTATGATTTTGAGTTTTGTTCCACAATTTTCTCCCACTCTATCCAGGATTTCCTGCACTGACTGATCCCTTTCCAATTGGTTGACAGTATCTACCCAAACATCTCTGTGAAAATAAGTTCTAAAAGGCAAAGAACCCTATTATAAGTCATGAGAAACTCTAAGAAATCTAAATGCGATCAAATCACTTCAAAGACTTCCCCTGACAACTGCTCAGGGTCAGAATCTATAGCCATGGTAGAAAAGTCAAACTAATTTCAGTAACAAAGTACCAGTTTTCTACTGGTTTCATTTTAGTTCAGGGCAAGACTATCCCTCCCTCCTAAGTTTCTCTAGAACAGATCAAACCCACTGGATAATTGCATTTAGTGAAAGACTGACTCAATAGTGAGCTGACGCTGCAGAGTCAAAGTTCAGTAAGCCAGCATTTTATGGCACTCATTACAACTGAAGTATAAACCACACTTATAGCTCATCCTTAATAAAAAGAAAAAAAAAATGATGACTAGAATCTGCTGGCGTGAGGAAAAGGAGAAAGAAATCAGTTATCAGTCTTAATAAGCTCTTATGATACATAGTAAAGCCATCACCTCCATGGATGCATGGACGATGTAATGCCCCCTGCCATACGGTCTGAAATGTCTACTAGGATAGCAAATGAAAGCAGACTTGTATTGAGTCCCTCCTATGGATGTGGTATTGTGAGGAAAAGATACAGAGATATACTAATTCTTGCCTTCAAGGAGCTTATGGTCTACTGAGGGGAAAATAGACACATCGTTACAACAGACAGTGACGGTACTTATGAGAGAGGTTAGCACAAGGGAAGGAAGCTGAACCTAACTCAGCTAGGGACAGGGGGCAAGAAAGACTTCTGAAAGGTGCAGAGTTCCAAAGTGAGGAGTTAGCCTGGCCACAAAGAAGAAAAGGGCATTTTAGGTACAGGGAAGAGATGAGCAGGGGCCAAATTACAAAGGGCCTTATATGCCATGCTAAGGAATGTGGGCTTTATCCTGAAGGCCACTACACTATTTAAGCCTTATTTATAGGCATCTAATACTGTAGAGTGAAGTCACATTTAAGAGACCCCCAAGACTATGACCCCTAGTTACCTTTCAGGTCTAGAACTGAACTCACTTCTGTGGCTTCCAGCCAAACAACAGACAGACATATAAGGTGAGCATTTACATCAGGTAGATACGTAGCTATCAATTGTGGGAGAACAGAAGGGCAGTGTTTGCACAAGGAGAAAGCTTGAGGGGCAGGAATGCACAGGCAAGAAGCCGGAAGAGGTAACTACAGGGAGGAAGTGGGAAGAGAGCTATTATTACATTGTGGAGATTTGCAGTCACTGTCATGAAACAAAATGTGTATGAATAGCTGTATGGAAAATATTGCTCCATAAGCTTTCATCAAAATCACAATAAAAATTAAAAAAAAAAAAAAATACATATTGAGCTCCTACTATATGCTATGGAAGGAAGACTGGGTGATCTACTTCCGTAGAGATACCGCCTCAGAAACCCAAGGAGGGGTTGCTATGAGTCAAATCGACTCAATGGCAGTGAGTTTGGTTGTTTTTTTTTTTCCCCACTATATGCTAGATGTCAGGAGGGAGCTCTGGTGGTATAGTGCCTAAGGCACTTGACTACTAACCAGAAGGCTGATGGTTCAAATCCACCAGCCACTCCTCGGAAGAAAAGTCAGATAATCTACTTCCGTAGAGATACTGCCTCAGAAACCCAAGGAGGGGTCGCTATGAGTCAGAGAAGACTCAACAGCACATAACAACAAAAACAACAGATGTCAGGAACCCAATGGTGGGTCTATGGCCATACCACCCTGAACGCACCCGATCTTGTCTGATCTTGGCAGCTAAGCAGGGTCGGGCCTGGTTAGTACTTGGATGGGAGGAACCCAACGGTGAAAAACAGATACAATCCCTGCAGTCAAGGTTCCTTTTATAAATGATCTTACAATAACCACATAAATAATTGAAAATCATAATAACTATGAAATAAAAGACTAAGGTGCTTTGCAAGAGTCTAATGGGATGGAGGCAGTAGGGATAAGAATGACACACTAGCCTGGACAGGGTCATAAGAACCCTCTCAGTCTCAGGTGATACTCAAACTGAGATATGAGGAAACGGGCTCTGCAGGCAGAGAAAATATCAAGTGCAAAAGCCAGGAAGTGACACAGAGTTGTCATGTTCAGGAGAATGAAAGAAAGCCAGTGTGCCTGGGGAGTGGATGGCAAGGCAAAGAGTGGCAGGAAGTGAAAATGGAGAGGGCTAGAACATACACAGTCTGATAGGCCATGGTAAGGAATTCAGATTTTATTCAAAGTGCAGGAAACCACTGATGAGTTTTAAACAGGGAAAATAAGATGATCTGAAATATGTTAAAGATCACTCCAGCTACCTGATGGAGTGAAGAGACAAAAATGGCCGTTGGAAGACCATTTAGGAGACTTATCGAAATAGTACAGGGCGAGATGATGGTTACTTGAACTAGGGCCATAACAGGTGAAAAGATAGGAATAGATTCTAGATACCTTCTGGAGGCAGAATAAAAGGATCTAGGGATGGACTGACTAAAGGGTGAGAGAAAGAAAGGACTCAAGAAAACTCCCAGGTTTCTGACCTGAGCAGCTGGGCAGATGATGGTACCATGTACTGAGGTGGGGAACTCGGGGAGAAACTGATCTGAAGGAGAATTGAGTCTGTTTTGGAACACGTTAAGTGTAGTAGGCTGAATAATGGCCCCAACGATCTCAGGTCCTAATGCCTGAAACTGCAAATGTTATACCTTGTATGAGCAAAGGGTCTTTGCAGATATGATTAAGTTAAGGATCTTGTGATAGAGAGATTATCCTGGATTATCTGGGTGGCCATAAATGCACTCACATGTATCCTCATGAAGAGGCAGAGGGAGATACCAAAAACATTAAAGGAGGCAGCGTGACCCAGAAGCAGAGACTGGAGTGATGAGGCCCTAAGTCAAGGATGCCAGCTGCCACCAGAAGCTGGATGAGAGCCAAGGAACATATTCTACCCTGGAGATTCCTGAGGGAGTTGGTCTAACACATAGATTCTGGTCGCATAAAACTGATTTCAGTCTTCTGGCTTCCAGAACCGTGACAGAATAAAATCCTGTTGTTTTAAGCTACCAAGTTTGTGGCAATTTGTTAAAGTAGCCACAGGAAACTCACATATTAAGTCTGAGATGCCTGTAAAACATCCAAACACAGAATTCAAACAGTCAGCGACGGCACATAACAACAACAACATTAGTATAAGAGTCTGGAGTTCAGAAGTTACTGTTTTAAATATTCCCATTAGCAGTCCAAACCCACCAGGCATTCCTTGGAAGGAAGATGGAGCAGTCTACTTCTGTAGTGATACTGCCTTGGAAACCCAAGGAGGGGTCGCTATGAGTCGGGTCCAACTCGACGGCACATAACAACACAAGGGTTGCAAGGTCATACTCCTACCTCCAGGTCCTTTCGAATGCTCTCAAACTCCTCAATGTCATCAAGCTTCAGTTCCAGGCGAGTTGGTTTTCGTCGCAGCATAATGAAAGCAACACCAGGGACCAGCACCAGCAAACTATTAGCTGTTAAAAACAGCAGAAAGGAAAAAGAACTGGAGAGGATGATTCCTGGATACAAAGATAAAAATGATGTATACACGTGTGCTAAAGTGAATGGTGGTACCAAAAATTCATTTGGATTCACACATAGACTTTTTTTTTTTTTTTTTTTAAT